TATAGCTTTATAAAATGTTTGATATATAACGCGCGCTCTGATTGGATGACGACGTGTTTACATCAGAGGACAGAGATATGGCTTAGCAGCAAAATTAATTTTTTGCTCGAAAAACGCTGATTTTTTCGCACTCGAGATTGCTTCTCTTGTCASTGTTTTTCAACTTCARCCGTGTTTATATCAGSGGTTAGAGGGCAGAGACACGCGCGCCATTCTACATTTCTTAAATAAAGACGTGTATCAAGCCTTCATTAGAAAGCCGCACGAATAAAACTGGACACGAGAAGGAAGTCGAGCACTTCCAAAAAATAATGGGCCAATCATTACTCAACCTGCTCATCAATTACGTCAAGTCCTTCAGGTTTTGACACCAGCTGAAAGCAAGTTATATGATAACGGGAAGAGTCTCATTTGTTCACTGTTGACTGTTCTACAGTAATACCTGCAGTTGTTAAAATAAAGTTACATGTGCTGTTTGTTTGGTGTGTTCTTGTCGGGAGTTAATGTCTTATACAGGTATTTCAATATTAAGGGGCATACTGTGGATGAAAGTAGCATTTACAGCCAAACCTACTGAAGCGTTCCTATCGAGGTTGGAAGGCTCGATTTATTATTCCAAATTTGGTTTCAAATTTATATTTAAACGTGCAAAAACAAAACCGACAATGTAAATTTCAAATCTGGCGTCGATTTGAACCTCGATTCCTGATTGGATTATTCCAAAAATAAAACAGTACGTCGTTGCATATTTCGAAAAAAAAAAAAAATGGCGGTGGTGCCGAATAGTCTTGAGAGGCCGTACACCCTAGGAAAACCTTTATCAATTGCTGAAAGACAACACATTATGCAAATATTTAACGGCGGACTCACAACAAACGGAAGTTTCTGAACGGCTAGCTTTGCGTAACTTATCGGTGCGTAACAAACGTCATCGAACATTATCGGTATGGCTCTGTCAATCCGTTAGGACATAGCGGTAAGCAGCCTGTTGTTTTGACATTTGATATTCTGGAGGACATAGACGCTTGGAAGATATCAGAAACCATCCTTGTATCGTCGACATCGTGAAACAACTTTTGGAATGCACTGCCGCGAACGAGTGAGCGTCATTCCCGCGCTTTACCCAACATGCACTTCGTTTTATTATTGGAATAATCCAATCAGGAATCGAGGTTCAAATCGACGTCAGTTTTGAAATTTACATTGTCGGTTTTGTTTTTGCACGTTTAAATATAAATTTGGAACCAAATTAAATTTGGAATAATAAATCGAGCCTTCCAACCTCGATAGGAACGCTTCAGTAGGTTTGGCTGTAATTCACGATATATATTCCATACCCTGTTCCAGTGGCGAAGAACAAGGCATTGAACCCAGTCGTCAAGGTACATTGCGTATAAAAGAAAACMTCTGTTGTGCTCAGTGTTCTTTGTTGCCTCGGTTCAATGCTTTGTACTTCGTGRTCACTGAAATTTTAAATGGAAAGTCGTAAAATCGGCGATTTGTATTATGCAATTATTAATTACAACAACTGCCAGAATGCTTTGACAACTTGTTTTTATAAAATTGAGATACATCCATAAATTTCCGCGTATTTCACAAAAGATTAGAAAGATATAGGATTTCAATTTGTATTCTTAATCTGTACTATCGGAAGTACAATAGTATACATTTTAGATCGTATTTTTAGTTTATGAGTATTGATTATCAATGTAAATTCGTAAATATGTAGTGATGTAATATTGCACGTGCAATGATATACACTATGCCTATCGTATGATTAGTTTATGAGTATTGATTATCAATGTAAATTCGTAAATATGTAGTGATGTAATACTGTACGTGCAATGATATACAATGCCTATCGTACGATTAGTTTATGAGTATCAATAGGAATTCCTATATGTAGTATTGTAATATGTACATGTGTAATAGTATACAGCCTTTTGCAAAAATTATGAGAATTGTCGAAATATCATAATATCAAGTGCATGATGGGTAATCCCACGCGCAGCCCTTTGTCCCGAACCCGCGGGTTTGCTAGAATAATTCATTGTTGACATCGAGAAAATGTTCAGAACTACGGATAAGTCCGTCGCCGCCGAAAAAAACTAAACTACAAAGACAAGGGACAAAGGGCATCGCGCGGGATTACCCATCATGCAATTGATATTATGATATTTCGATATTTCGACAATTCTCATAATTTTTGCAAAAGGCTATACATTGGAGATATCGTACGATTAGAATATAAGTATAGTTTATACTTAGACGACTGTAACATTCGACGTGTAAGATATACATTTGATCGCACTATTAAATTAGAAGTCGAATTATTATATTCATCATATCATAAATCACCTTTTTTAAAATAGCTATATGCTCTGTAATGTAAAACAACAAGCGCTTTTGTCCTCTCGCAGCCGTTATGAGGCTCGTTACCAGTTTTTCCATAGCAGACTTTGCTTTATGGACACCTGACCTTGAAAATTACCTGGAATATAATTGATGGTGGTGACACTGACTTCATAATTTAAAGTACCCTTGTATCATTGTAAGGACTATAAGATGTCAAAAGTGATTGAGCAATGCAAGGAAAAAAATAAACAAAACAAGCGAGTCTATTGTTTTAAAAGCAATTTAAAAGCAATTAATCACCTACATAAATAATAATATTCCGGGACATAAAAGGCGATACCTTTTTCATGAACGTTGTTTTCAAAAACTTGGATAAATAAGCCAAGCCTACATTATATGCACAATATGCATTTATAAAAACTGACACCTTACCATAAATCAACAATGCAAAAAGGGCGCAGATGTGTTGTGCAAGACTTCAATTAAGATGTCCTATTTTTGGAACCATATCTTTGTTAATCCAAGACAATATCTAGGGATCAAGTTAATACTCGTTTTTGATATCGATATGTTGTCCCATGGGAATTCCTTTATTCAAGTATGAAAAAATCAATAAAATTTGTTCTTTTTGATTGAAGTTTGCATCGAAGCACATCTCAGGTCGATGCAGCATGCCTGTTACCAACGATCGATTGCGCTTAAGACGAGGTACAAGTCCGTTCCTTCCAGTTATTAAAGAGGAACACGAACCAGCTTTCCAGGACCTATGTGATGTACTCAACATCAGTCAGAAAGCTGAAAATCATGAAAATCTACTAGGAGTTYGCAGCTTTGATGGTAAATTTTACGATGAGCAAAATGAAAATGGAAAAAGTCAGGAAATTAAGCAATCGAAACGTCCACTGAGAAAAAGGAATTCAGACGGGCATATAAGTCTCGCGAGAAGGAAGACCAGTTCTGCAAACACGCCAAAAGCAAACACCATGAAACTACTGTCCATCAGGGCAAAAACTCTATCAGGACGTGCTAGACGAACAGATGACAGTTTGGAGCACAAAAGTGAAAGTTTAGGGGGTGGTCGTCTTCATGTCATTATGCATAGCAAAGAGACTTAAAGTAGTTGAGCATAGTTAATGTTGTGTGCAGATCACATTTATGGAGTTTGACTTTGTTGGCGAAGGCTGGTCACGTGATTAACCCTAGGTCAAAACCCTAGCCACAAGCTCCAATGTAACCCTAGGACAAGTCTAACCCTAAGTCAAATCTCAAACCTAACCCTACGACAACAGTCCTAACCCTAATCATATGTTAGCCCAAACAGTGAAATTTTAACAAATCGTGCGAAAAAACACTGATCACGTGACCCTCATTTTTGGAATTTTTAAATTTTTCGAGTGTCCCAGCTACCTGGGGCACACAATGGTCTGTGGCAAGCCAAATGCTTTATAGCCATTTTCTTCTCGTAAAATGAAAGCCAAAGACTCAAACTAATGGAGTAGTTACAAAATCATAGAACACATCTTTATTGTAGATAAAATTTTTGTTTACTGTTATCTTTGTAAAAATGAGAGAATGAGTGAATATGATTATCAATCGAACTTTGACAAGTTTGCCACAGTTTGTTAAGTCATCTGCTCACTGAAGACGTCTATTAAMCCCCAATTAGAAAGCCGTACGATTAAAACAGGACACGAGAAGGAGGTTGAGCACCGACTTCTAAAAATAAAGGGCCAATCATCACTCGATAACCTGCTCATCGATTACGTCAAGTCATTCAGGCTTTGACACCAGCTGAGAGTAAGTTAGATGATAACGTACGGGAAGGTCTCATTTGTTCACTGTGGACTGTACATCTACAGTAATACCTGMAGTGTTAAAATGAGGTTACATGCGTTGTTTGGTTGGTGTGTTYTTGTTTTGGTCTTGTTTTATACACAGATACAAGGTAAGTTATCGAGTATAAAAAAGTACTTTTAATAGTGTTAAAAAAGGTGGTAATTTCAGAAAACGAGATTTATCGATACTCTTTCACAATTATTACGAGATCTCAAATTTYCACC